CTGTGTGTGTGTGTGTGTGTGTGTGTGTGTGTGTCCGATGGCCCACATAGATTGGCTCAGTCAGTGGCGATCGCTAATCACGTAAAGAGTAGATGAGGCACACAGGGTTTGTTTCCGATACGCGAGGAAAGAGAAGAACAAAAAGAAAGAACAAAAAACAACAACCCCCAGAACTTTCACTCCGGAAAGTCAACGCTCTTGTACGACTTCCTCAGTTCCTCACAATATCGTCACATGGACACGACACAGTCTCATTGTGACAGCGTCACACCGTGATACCGACCGTCACACCGTGATACCGACCGTCATACCGTGATACCGACCGTCACACCGCAAGTGTCAATGGCTCTTGGAAGAAGTATATTATTATTATTGTGTGTTCCCGCATTGTGCAAGACTTTCCTTCCCTGAGTAAGTAAATTATTCTACGCTTTTGGAGACGTGAATACAAAGTGGTCCCGCGTTGCTCTTGCATGCTGTGCATTGTGTTTCTTGCTGGAGTAAGTTAAGTAGCCTGTGCTTTTATTTTGAAGAATGGAATGCGTTCTTGAGCCACATGTAAGTGCAGGGCAACTGACAGTTTTCTTGTGTGGATGTCGGTCAACTCTCTTGTCTGCGCGCGGTGTTTCTGTTCTATTTACTTTTTTAGTTTTCGTACGAGCTTTACGGCACTTACAACACAATAAGTTCATTTAAATTCCGAAGAACAGAAGTGGTTGGCGGGTGCTCTGGTATGGTTTGCTCCTTCTTTCCTATCAAACATCAATTTTCTGATCTCTCCTCCTTCTCTGTTGTGTTTGTTACTCTCTTGTAACACATCTAATCTCCGGCACTTATAATAACCCTATTCTGTTGCAAGTGCCGTAAAACTCGTACGAAAACTAAACTTAAATACTGAGCAACATTTTTTTCGGGCTTGATTTGGTCGCTTTTAAGCGCAAGGGGGCTATCAAGAAAATTGCTGTTTTGAGAAAATCGAATGTAACGTTTTTGCACCTTGTTCAGTTTCTCTAAAAGACAAGGAGAGTTTTCTCTATTACCAAACAAATGTACGCACCGATGGCACCAAACTTCTCCAATAGATAGCGCAATGCCTACTTTTGGTGTTGGTCAAGATTCCTGGAAACCTCCGAAATCTGGGTTAGCCCGCATGTCCTTAAAAGTGACCATTTAGTAGCCTGCCTTTATACTAAAGTACATCACCGTTATACTGGCGCAAAGACAAAAGCCAGAATATGGATGAAGCCTTTTTATGCTCAAAACATGTTTATTTCTGCTCTGCTAGAATTTGTCTCATTGGGCTTGACAGAAGCCACACGTCATCTCAATCTTTTTTCTTCCATTCCTCTTTAAGAAATATTCTCCTTTGAATATACATCGCCCATAGTCACACTTTGACTGATAAAATATTCCTCGTAGTAGTAGTAGTAGTAGTAGTAGTAGTAGTAGTAGTAGTAGTAGTAGTAGTAGTAGTAGTAGTAGTAGTAGTAGTAGTAGTAGTAGTAGTAGTAGTAGTAGTAGAGCAGTAGTAAAAGTAGTAG